AAATCTTTCCCATTGCTTGTAAATGATTGGAAACTGTTTGATGAGCAACATTCTGCAAGTTGTTTTTGAGTTTGACATGCATCCTCATCCAATAATTCTTGTAATTGTTGGCCTTCAAACTTTTTCGGTTAACCTGGACATTCTTTGTCTTTCACATCGAAATCATCACTTTTAAAGTGTTTAAATCAGCATTCACAAGTTTCTTGAGATGGAGCATGTTCACCATAAGCTTCCCAAAGTATAGGATAACTTTTTCTTCAAAATAAAATAATGAATTAAAACTTCCCACAAATGTTTTTTTAGCATAAAATTTGACATTTTTAAGCGTAAAAATATCTATGATGTTAACAACTTCAGAAAATTTGACATATGAAGTTTTGAAGCTTGTTGTCAATACAACAAAATAGCATACATATCATATCACATATATATCAACATATGTGTAACCCCATCTATTGAAAAAAAAAAATGCTTTGGTAACCGGTACACCTGTTTTGAAACTTTATTTGCTATTTTTTCATATCATGTCATTATTATTATTATTATTATTATTATTATTATTATTTTAACAATTTCTTAGTGATTTTTTCCTCAGTACTTCAACTGTCCTTTTGTTCTTTTCTTTTTCTTTTTCATGGATGCCATGTTCTTCTGGAAACTTTTTTAGATCAAGTTACTGGCCTTTTAGGCTTCCTCCATGTAAATAGGAGTTCACTTTTTGAATAGTAAGAATCATATGTCATAGGAGAGGCATCAAGATTTTAGAGATGCTTAGGTGGGGCATGGCCAAAAAAAGGTTGGGAACCACTGCCCTAGATCAATCACTTGTGAGGCAGAAGAGAATTCGTACAGCCGATTATGATTTAGTGCCTGGGCCGGGACACAAAGCCACCTCTATTAACAGAGCAGAGGAGCATGTGGCTGTGGGGTGGCTGGCCAATACTGCCTGCTCCAACTGCTGGGAACATGGGCATGTCTCCCAGGAGCCAGTACGTTGTACAAACACCATAACCGTAACACAACAGAATAAGAAGAGAGGGTTGTTCCCACACACATTACCAGGCAGAGATGAGTAATAATTCCCAACCAGGAATTTCCATGATCCTGACATCCCTTTCCCAGGAATTCTAACTCACTGGGTGTGGCTGTCATTCTTGGTACTCGCTCACTGCAGGGCATGATGCGAGAGAAGTTGGTGCTCACATAAATCCTCTGTCAGGCCTGAGGCCTGACCTAAAGGGCTCAGCTATGTGGCTGTCACACATTTCTTCTGTGGCAGGATTCCGTAGCCCACGTGGACAGAGGTAAGGAGAGGTGGTGACAGCACGAGGAGGCAATGCCCTTACTTCTGCAAAGCCCACCTACTGTTCGGCCCCGATTGAGGACTCCAAGATGTCTTGGCAGGTTGGCCCACACACGGTCTATTGGTCACACCTACGGGACTCGCCACCGGCTTTAACAGGCAGCCCATGAGAGCAGGGATGGATCAGTCTTTTTTCACTGAGAAACCCCAGGGACAGGAACAATGCCTGCTCTGAGTGGCCCTCAGTAAATGCTCAGAAAAATAAGTGAATGCGTCCTTAAGTTAAACAGTCTTCAGAGTCAGAACACTGGTTCTGTCTGTGACTTTTAGGGTTTTGCACAGCATCACTCCGGTTGATAGCCTCCTGTAAGTCAGTTAGAAAATAAGAATTCCCCCCCACCACCACCCCCCACTGACTTGGAAATATTTCTAAATACCGTTTCTGTGTGACCCTTCTTATTTTATGCGCTTACTGAATTGATAAGATTGCATTCAGAGTCAAGGTAGACTCCAGGGATATTTTTTAACGCTTTGAATTTCCCACACAAACAATGTCTGCTTGTCTTTCTCCCTAAATCTTACCCAGCTGGGGAATAAGTTTCATGTCTGAGAGCCAGAGGCAGCCCAAGAGAGTGCTCCTGCTGTCACTTCAGAAATACTTGGGAGACATATCTTCATTTCTCCTGCTCTCCAGCCCCCTTTCATTCCAACAGAGAACAAAGCCTTCCTGTTCATTTCCAAGTGACTTCCCTTGGTTTAAAAACCTCTCCAATGGAAAGTAAGAGGGGAAAAAATAAGATTCAGTGAATGTGAATGAGAATATTACTATTTCTATTGTCATCTTCATTCTAAAATGGGAAGATGTAATCCTGTGAATTGGTGTGCGCGCGCGCTCTCTCTCTCTCTCTCTCTCTCTCTCTCTCTCTCTCTCTCTCTCTCTCTCTCTCTCTCTCCAGAATGTGCCCTGAACCCCATCTTCCTAATTGCTCTATAAATGTTTGCATAACTGCTAACAGGAAAGCCTTCTCAGAAATCCAACTAACCCAAGAGTTAGTACATCAGACTGTTTAGTAAATGTGGCAAAAGGAATTTGTTAACATGTAGATATGACTAACCATGGTGCCCACATGAACTGTGGGAAAATGTGTGGACGTTAAAATTCTCTTGCAGAAATAATGGGTATATAGCAGATCTCTCTCCTTTTATAAGTTGTAGCCAGCATATATGTATGCCCATTCATTAATGTATTTTTCCTTTAAAAATTTATTCTTCTCTGATATCTTTTTCCACTCTTACATTTTTTTAAAGACATTCATCTTCATTCACTTCATTTTTGCTATAGTTTCATGGACGGATTGAATGACAATGATTGTTATGTTTAAAAAATACTACCACCACCAGAACCGGTTTGGCTCAGTGGATAGAGCACCGGTCTGCGGACTTGAGGTTCCCAGGTTCCATTCTGGTCAAGGATATATACATTGTGTGCAGGAGGCAGCTGATCCATGTTTCTCTCTCTTTGAGGTTTCTAACTCTCTATCCCTTTCCCTTCCTCTCTGTAAAAAATCAATAAAATATTTTTTAAAAAATAAAAATAAATAAATAAATAAATAAATAAATAGTACTACCACCATTTACTTAGCACTTATTTTTGTTCCAGATTCTGTTTAGTCCTCCCTTTGATGGTTCGAGGTTATTAGCTCACCATTTTACAGATGAGAAAACAGAAGTCCAGGAGGTCAAAGGGTTGTGCAAGGTCACAGGGACAATAAGACTCAGACCCTGGATTCTGATCCAGAGAAGTGTGGGCAGAAACCCTGCAATCTCTAGGGCAACATGGACACACTCCAGTATGTCGCTTCCATTTAAATTCCTTCGGCTAAATTTTTAAAATTGATTCCATAAAACAAATTTACCAGGTGAGTGTATTCCCATTTTACCAGAAGAAAGCTAAACATAGAAATGAAATAACGTGATCAAGAATCAGAAAGGGCCGAAACCGGTTTGGCTCAGTGGTAGAGCATTGGTCTGCGGACTGAAAGGTCCCAGGTTATTCTGGTCAAGGGCATGTACATTGGTTGCGGGCACATCCCCGGTAGGGGGTGTGCAAGAGGCAGCTAGTCGATGTTTCTCTCTCATCGACGTTTCTAGCTCTCTATCTCTCTCCCTTCCTCCTCTCTGTAAAATATCAATAAAATATATTAAAAAAAAAAAAAAAAGAATCAGAAAGGGCAGAATTGTGATGTAAATTCTGGCCCAACAACTTGAAGCCTCACAGGGCACCTGGCAAAAAATGATGAACCAGTAATGCTTACCAAGTAAGAATCTTCTGAGTTATATCTCAGAAGTCCTAGTCCCTCATAAGATTCATCTATACACTGAGTGGCCAGATTATTATGATCTCTGAATTCACAATAATCTGGCCACTCGTGTGTGTGTGTGTGTGTGTGTGTGTGTGTGTGTGTGTGTGAATGTATATATGTATTAGAGGCCCGGTGCACGAATTCGTGGGGTCCGACCAGCTTGGCCAGGGAGAGGGGACATGGGCACATGGGTGGTTGACCGGCCTGCCTGCTGGTTGAACTCCTGGTCGAGAGAACAATTTGCATGTTAACCTTTTATTACATAGGTTATACATAGAGTGGCCAGATTATTGATATTATGTGTTCAGAGATCATAATAATCTGTCCACTCAGTGTACACGTAAATAACACATAAAATGAAGAAATCTTAGATATTGAATGAAAGGCCTGGATTATCTGCATTTCTTTTTTGTTACTGAACCATATCTCAAACTTATTATTAAATCCAAATCTATTTCCTAAAATCAGTCTTGATTTTAAAGCTAAACTCTCAATGGTGGTCCATTTTGTAAAAAATTACATGATTCTTCCCAGAGAAAAGCCCTCAAATATCTCGGTCAGATTCTCCAAACTCTCCCAGTTTATCAACTAGAATAAAAACTTGGCCAGAGCTTAAATGGAAATTAATAACCAGCATAATACTGGGCACAATGGAATGTTTATGGAATGATTAAATAAGTCACAGATGGAATAAGCCACTTAATGCAATGTATGTACATTTTAATCTTTTATATGATTTAAAACTTAGAGGACGTTGCAAAAGCAGTACAAAAAAATCCCTACAAAACCTTTACCAAATCATTACAATTTATTAACCATTTTCCCCATTTGCTTTATCCCTGTAATTTTATGAACATGATCACGTGTAATCAAGTAATGTGCAGCCTCTTAGAATTCATCAATCGAGGTAAAATGATTTAAACCCAAACGAAAAAGAACACTTTTCTGCCAGAGTCAACAGTGTACATCTAACTCCTCTGAACTGAAAAGCTCCTTGGAGGGAGCCAAATCGGAAGCCCTGTGGCTCCCCAGGGAACGTGAGACATCCTTCTCTGGGGAGGGAGGGACAGTTGGGTTATAACTGGCTCGTGTGATGGTGAAGCTGAAAGGGGAAACCTCACAACACTGGCCTGGCACAGCCGGCTGCAGCGCCCCCCCCCCCCCCCCCCCCCCCAGGACACAGCCTTTCCCGGGAGGGCTGTGCACACTCCCAGGAGCGATGCCCCGGAGGCCTGGCCGCGGGTGGACCGCTGCCGGCTCCTTCCTGGTCTCTGGCTGCCTGCAGCTCTCCCAGGCGGGCGGCTCAGAATGCTGGCGAAAGGAGCTGGATTCCCTTAGTAAATATCCGCCAAGGAAGTCACGTGCAGAGACCGCTCCAGCTCACTCTTGCTGGTGGGCCTCCAGGGGTAAAAGAGCACAGAGCGCGTCTTCTCCATCATGAGGAAACCATTGTCGCTGAATCTCCCTGGGATGCTCCCGACATCCAGCCACACGAAGGGCGCCACTGCCGAGGTTTCCAGGTCAAACACAAAGGTGTCCTCGTGCTGAGAGATGGTGGCCTGAAGGAAAAGGATAAATGAAGTGAGGGACGAGGGACGCGCTCTCCGTTCCTTACCTGACGCCTATCGGAGCGTGTTTATGCGGGCCTAACAGGGAGTGTATTTCCTACAACTTCAGTTCATCAGCCGCCAAAGCCATACGTTCCATGCCCTGTGTCAGATCCTGAGAAAAACGTGGGAATGTGTGAAGGCTCTGGGAAATGAGCAAATTGTGATCTCAAACCAAGGGCAGAAATGTGTAGGCTCCTATTATCAGAGAGACTGTTTCAGGAGAAGCTCAAAGCTTTATATCATTTACAGTGTTTCTCGGGGTTTCAGCAAGAGGGGAACGTTTTTGTGTAACTGCTGGGCCATCATATGACTTTCTCGGGGTCTCTCTGGAGCCAGCCACAGAGCACTGCCCAGAGCTCACCTCCTGCTCCTCCGAAAAGACCCAGAAACCCAGACAGCAGCCTGCCAGGCCTGCACAGAAGGTCTAGCAGGAGAGCTTTCTCTTCTTCATCACAGAGAACCGCAAAGCCACAATCATGAGCACTTTTAAGATGTGTGACGCCCACACCGGATCAGCAAACAAACGCACAGCTTAACTCCTGTGTTTGTCACGGAGCAGCACGGGCACGGTGAGGTGAGCTCAGCCCGAGGGCGGGGTCTGAGAGCCTCTCTGACAGCATATGGATGAGCGTGACCTGGTCGTCCAAGCTCAGCCATCGTCATGAAATACGAGTCCTTAGCATGGGTACGTGTCACACCATAGGTCTGACGTTACATGTGATGTGTGGCATCGAGAATTTCAAAGGAGAGTGTTTACCATCCATATCTTTGGCCTTACACACCTGTCTGATTGCCATTCAGAGTTCTGAGCTGCAAACAATAAAACAAACCTACTGTGGAAGAAGCAGAAATGAAAACGAAGGATGTTAGGTAGCTCGCAGATGGTCAGAGATCCAGGCTGGAAGCTAGATGTCAGATTCCCAAACCAATCGTCCCCCTGTCCCAGTAAAGCAGTCACAGCCTGCGATTCCCACAGCTGGCCCTGGCCAGCCCACACGGCTGCTATGGGGGCCCCGACACTGCCACGCCAAGGCCGAGGCCGGAAGCGACTCTGGTACCCGCTCATTCTTGTTGCCTTCTTCCAACTCATTTCACTGCATCTGACCACAGAGCCTGGAGCTCAAGCTTGCACTCTGGCTTCAGGGAGGCAGAGAAAACAGATTTCTGACATCTACCTGGGGACAGGACACCCAAGTGCCTGGCCAATGTTAAGCCTGCAGTAAATGCTTTGTTGTTGTTGTTGTTGTTGTTGAAAGACAAGTCTCATTGAAATTCAAATGAGGTCAGAAAAATAAAGAATTTCTACTTCTCTCCCACCCCGCATTATCCCAAGATAATGAAGGTTTAGCTAAGGAAAGAGAAAAGAATTGTTTGCCGGGACCGGTTTGGCTCAGTGGATAGAGCGTCGGCTTGGGGACTGAAGGGTCCCAGGTTCAATTCCGGTCAAGGGCATGTACCTTAGTTGCGGGCATATCCCCAGTAGGGGCTGTGCAAGAGGCAGCTGATCAATGACTCTCTCTCTCATTGATGTTTCTAACTCTCTATCTCTCTCCCTTCTGCTCTGTATAAAAATCAATAAAATATATTTTTTTAAAAATTGTTTTCAAAATCTGAGGGCTCCTCTGCTACACAGTGGGATTGTTGTTTTTGTTTTTGTTTTTTTCTTTTCTGGAAAGAAGCTACTTGAATATATGTCATTTCTTCTCATCTGTTGTTACAGATAACTTAGATTTGTTACATGAATCTTTCATTATTGGGAAAGAAGATAGATGTTTTCAAATGAAGGATTAAGAATTTCTATATCATAAAAAAGAAGGAATTTTCATCATTTGCAGCAACCTGGATGGAATTGGAGAACATCATGCTGAGTGAAATAAGCCAATCAATGAAAGAGAAATACCACATGACCTCACTCATTGGTGGACAATAAAGCTCTTTATGAACTGATGTACCAAGAGACAGAGATAGAGAAAGTAAAGCAACAGGCAGACTGTCAAATTACAGTGGGGAGGGGAGGAAGATCTGGGGGAGATAATAGATCAAACGAAGGACTTGTATACATGCATATAAGTACAACCAATGGTCATAAAACTCTGGGGAGGGAGGGGATGGGTGGGAGGGAGGGAGGGGGGTAAAAAAATCAATAAAATATGTAAAAAAAATCAATAAAATATGGAAAAAAAAGAATTTTATATCATTACTTCTAAAGTTAATGTAAAAAATCCTCCCAGTTTAAGGCTTCTCAATGAAGTAAAGGGTCAGACACATTTAAAATTCGCTAAAACTAGAGAATGGACCTTTCCAGAAAAATATTTTCAATCACTATGTGTAGGAGGAAAACGAAGGATAGGGTTTCGATCAACTAAAGAGATTCCAAATTCTCCAGCTGCACGGTTTTTATCACAACACAGCCTGCTCATGCCATTGTTTTTCTTGACAATTATAAAGAGATTTTATAATTAAGCTACTTTGCAGCAATAAATCAAGGAGCAGAGAATGAATAATTTAAAGATTAATAGGCTCGACTTAAAATCTCAAAATCAGAGTGCTCCTCCTGGCTCCGATGCTTCCCCGAGCATGTTCCTGGAGCGTGTCAGTCCCTCTAGACGTGTCTGCTCACTTGTAAACACAGATGACAAAGTGGCTGAAAAGTGGGGTTCTGTGGAAAGTAACTTCCCAGGGCGATCTGGTCATAAATCCCTAACTGGGCAGGTCATGGTGGGTGGTCACGCCCACACCTATCACCTCTCTAGGAAGCGGTTTGTCTTTGCCTTAAGTAAACCCTGCCCGTCACTACTGTGTATCTGGGTTAACACACCTTTTGAAAAACCAGAAGTGATGGAAGGAGACTCGACTTAGGGTGGTGAACACACCATACAGGGTACAAGTGATGTGTTGAGGAATTGTGCACCTGAAACCTGTATAATTCTGTTAACCAGTATCTATCTATAGATAGATAGAGTATATTAAAATAACTGAATAAATACATAAATAAATAAAGACAGACCAGCAGTACTAACCTGGAAGGGGTACTAACACTCCAGACAGCACTCAATCTTAGCTATCCTGTAACACAACCCCTGTGTTGCTTCCTCCCACCTTCATGCAATTTTCCTCATACCCTCCTTCATTTCATATGCATAAAAGAAGCTGCCAAGCTGTTATTCTCTGGAGCATTTAAGATCTTGCTCCTCGGCATGTACCATCAATTTGGCTCAAATAAACTCTTATGAAAATTCTCTACAGGTTTGACCATTTCTTACATCAACAATAATACTTCGGGGTTGGTGCACTGAAACCTCAGGACCGAGTTTGGCTCTCTGGGGTGGGACAATGGGGGGGGGGGAATCCTTGATGACCCTAACGCTTCTCCCTCCACTGCGAAAGCTCATGTGGGAGGGCTGATGGGACAGCAGGAGTAGCAGGAACCAAAAACTTTGACAAATGCTGAATTAGAAATGAAAATAATTTGGCCTTTGTTTCCAGTGGAAAGCAAAATTCCCCAGGCCTTAGGGAAACTCTGTTCCAAGGAAAAAGTTAGCAAACAGCAAGATGCAGAGGGCCTGCCCTGGAGCCAGGCAGCTCCTGAGGCCACAGTGACCCCACCACCCGGTGCTTACAGTGATGTCTGCCTTCTGGAGCCCTTCAGCCTCCTTCGGTGAGGACAGGAAGTGATAGTTGGTTGAGCTCAAGGGTTTGCTGCTGGTTGACAGGTAAAAGGAAACCACACAGCTTTGCCGTGTGCAATGCCCACATCTCTGCAGCATTTCAGACACCAGCTCCTGATAGAGGAGGACAGCCTTCCCTGCTCTCATCACCAAATCCGGGGTCCTGTGAGAGCACACAGGCTCCAGGGAACTCCACCTATGCACTCTCACCTGCGGAGAAACAACACAGAACAAAACCAAACATTGCTGGGTTACTACTTTTTTTTATTATTATTGATTTTTTTTTTTTAACAGAGAGGAAGGGAGAGGGATAGAAAGCCAGAAACATCGATGAGAGAGAAACATCGATCAGCTGCCTCCTGCACACCTCCCACTGGGGGTGTGCCCACAACCAATGTCCATGCCCTTGACCAGAATTAAACCCAGGACCCTTCAGTCCACAGGCCAATGCTCTATCACTGAGCCAAACCGGTTTTGGCTAGGTTACTACTTTTTTAAGAGGAAAATAATAGTAATCATTGATGAAAGGTAGAATAGCAGGAGTAGTTAAGATACTATAAAACCCAGGTTTAAACTCAGCCCCACCAAGTACTAGCTGTGTATCTACACAAGTCCACCAGGGTCTCTGTTTCTTCCTTCCTAACAGGAGAATAATAGCACCACTAACTTCCTGGGCTGCTGTGAGAGCTGAATGAAGCCCGGTACCCAGGCCCCGCCATTATCCCAGAAGCATGACCTATGCTCAGTGTCCTCCAAACTGTAGCGCCCAAGATTTGAGTTTCTACCCTTTCTTTTCACCTGGCATTGTTTTCCTCCAAGTTTACTTGTATGCATTCTCAATAAAGCTATTTCCTGCTTTCCATGATTATCAGTAAGCTTACATTTAAATGGCACTTTATAGTTTGTAATTCAGTTGCATCTAGTTCTTTTATCCACTACCCATAGAAAGCCTTTTAGAAAATAGGTATTGCTGGTATTGCTCAGTGGTTGAGCGTCAACCTATGAACAAGAAGGTCAGGGTTTAATTCCTGGTCAGGGCACATGCCCGGGTTTCAGGCTCGATCCCCAGTAGGAGGCATGTAGGAGGCAGCCCACCAATGATTCTCTCTCATCATTGATGCTTCTATCTCTCGCTCCTTCTCCCTTCCACTATGAAATCAATAAAAAATATATTTTTTTAAAAGACGATAGGCTGGTATCATGTTACAGATGAGGAAACTGAGTCATTAAGACATTAAGGCTTAAGGTCACAGAATGAAGAGCAATTTTACCTGAATAGGGGTATGCTGACTCTGGGACAGCCCATTTTCTACTCCAGGCACTAGAAACACTTTGATACAAATGAATTTCTCTTTTCTGTTTCCCCAATGAAAAAGCACCGAATAACTAAAGAAATAATCTAAAACTCTCCATCACAGAGAGAAGCCCAATCAACTTACAGTGAGCGTCACAATACTGTTCGAGTGAAGGTCTGACACCCCATAGATGAAAAACACTCCTTTATCCTCAAAACCCACTGGCCACAGCGGCGCGAAGAAATTTCGAGCGAAGTAATGAAGCATTTTCCACTTTCCTCCGTACTCTGGAAAAGTCAGGAAAGTGAGGAGATGGGCAGGGTCAGGCAGTCAGAATCATCACCCCCATGGCCCGGCGGGTATGAATCTGTCATGATTCTAAGGACTGAGAGTGGAAGCGAGACCCACACAGGTCGGGAACCCACGTTTGCTGAGGCTCTGAGCATTTTGAATGTTACCACATATTATCCTCACGTCTGGGGAAGGCACACCTTCTCAGCCATTTTTCAAATGAGGAAACAAGGGCTCAGACAGTTAAGTCAAACACGCCACGGGCCGTCTTTTGGGCCCAGAGCTGACTCCTTGCTCTGGGAGCTCATGGTGCCCACGCTCCTTTGTTCTGTTCACACAAGGAGGAGGAAACCAGTAGCACCGGCAGTGAACACCTGTTACGAATACTCCTTTGTAAGAATGATTTAAAACTCACAGTCCCCTGTTCCCATGAGCACAAGCCCTCTGAGGGAGACAAAACAAGCACTGTCACTAATGTGGCTGGCAAGTTCTGACCGGAGAACACCCAACCAGCAATTAAGGGCAGTTGTCAGTTGCCAAGGACCTGTAGAATGCTGTGCCCTGTTGGCAAGTCTAGTATGCTAACCCCACAAACTAAAAAAATATGTCACCCTGCCAGTGTGGCTCAGCTGGACATCCCATGTGCCAAAAGATTGCCAGTTTGATTCCTGGTCAGGGCATATGCCCAGGTTGAAAATTCAATCCCTGGTAGGTACATGGAGAAGGCCATTGATTGATGTTTTGCTCTCACATGGATATTTCCCTCTCTCTCCCTCTCCCTTCCTCTACTCTATATGATAAAGAGCTAATATGCTAATGGCCATCACACCGTAAAGACCAATCAGCAGGAGGCTGCATGCATAGCAAGGCATGAGAGGGTGGCCGTCCGAGGAGGCGGGGCACTTCCTTGCAGCGGTGGGAGGCAGGGGGTGGGAGGTAGGGTGCCTCCTCGCGAGATTGGGCCTCTAGTAAATAAGCAAATACTGCCCAAGTGTCTCTAAACAGTATCTCTTCATCCTGTGTTAAGGGCTATTTCCCCGATGCTCTACCTGTGATTCTCATCCAATACCCTTTTGTCTGGTTGATGTTGATAGAGTTTAGCCAGATAAACTCAAGAGGTGACCTTGCACTAATCAAAGCCTGTGGTGAATGGATTTTAGACTTGTGTCCACAGCTGGTTTAAGAGCCATACCCAGCAACATGGCCTTTTTACTTCACAGCTTTGCCTCGTTTTTTACCCCAAACCTTTGTTGGTATTAACTGAACTTTGCTTCAAACCACCTCTGGGAAAGGCCAAAGATTCCTCATTACTTCTGGGTGGTGTTTCATGTACCAAAGCAGAATAAATTCAAACAGCAAGTGCCATGCCAGTCATCTCACCTATTGCCAGTTGGACGGCTTCAGTTGAGAACCCTTCCTACTTGGACTTCTGACTCTGCTACCTCCCCTTTCAAGAGATAAATAGGGCAGAATAAAGATGCCTTTGTGGTCTTAAACGAGAGGCAAGCAAAGGGACCTCCTAACACTTAGTGGGGCCAACCTTCCACATGGTTGAAGTCTCCCAAACGGAAGAAGAGATGCAAAAGTAAATGCCCCTTTGCCTTGGAACATCCTCTTAAATTCAAATCTAAGCACCAATTATGACACGTAACAGATCTCCGTGCATGAATCTGCCCACCTCATTAGCCTGCTTTTGTGACATTGCTCAGCACAGAACTCATAGTGAGGCTGCCTCTCAGGCTCCTGGAAAGACTGGAGGAGAGGGGGGGGAGAACAGTTCATCAACCAGCTGCTGGAGAATCTCCTCACCTCAGCCTCTGGGTTTTCTCAGCACCTCTCCCCACAGGGATTTCTCTCTCTCTCTCTCTCTCTCTCTCTCTCTCTCTCTCTCTCACACACACACACACACACACACACACACACACACACACACACACACACACGGCAATCTGAAACACTTACCTAGAGAGGCCCAGGAAGGAGCCTGCCAGATGTCATTCAGCTGCCAATACAGCGCCCCCATCGTGTGCCCTTTCCCGTCCACTATCTCGCTGCGACTGCGGCGGTAGAACTCGGTTTGTGTTTTGACACACTGGGCCTGCATCACCTGAGTCGGGTGAACATGAAAACACAGGTGTGACTGTTTGGTCTGAGAAAATTACAGATTGTTCGTCCTTAAAGCAAATGGAATAAATCAGAGAATTTGAGTAGCATTATTTATATCATTATTATACTAGATCTGGAACTACCCCTTAGCATCAGAGAAGCTGTTGTCTGTAAAAGCTGGTTGGTTTGGGAGGCTTGGTATTTAACTCATTATAACAACTGGGTAATCAAAGAGGCAGGATGGTGTGAAGGCTCTTTTCTAATGGTGGTGTAGGCAACAATGGGAAACAAAGACTTATTCCAGAGCAAATGCTATATGTAGTGAAACACTAAGGTTTTTGCAGTGATGGCTTTATTAATATTTGCAGAGCTGTTTTTTCAAAGCTTTATTAGGAAACATTCTGTAGGAAAAATACCTTTATTTTGAATCTGATCCTGACCAATCCCTATCCCCTTTTTTTCTAGTCAAGCAGTTGTTTTTATATCATGACTTTTGAGACGTAAAATTTCTTGAGAAAGAATGCAATTCCTTCATCATGGCAGAAGAGATGGTAAACTGCAGCAATGAGATAAGTGAGTTTAGTTGTTGTTTAAGAGGCAATAACCAATTCACACAGGACCCTTAATGACTGTCATTATCATTGAAAAATCAATCTTTTTTATTGATGCTGTTGCTGAGACTGTGGGTGTCACATGCTCCCAGCTCAGAGTTGCAGTTCGGAAAGACTCATAAATGGGAGTTCATTAGGAGAAGTCACTATAGGGAACCCGGAGAGATGGTCAGGGCTGCAGGATTCCTCAGTCAGAGGAAAGGATGGTCTAAGAGGAAGAAAGAAGGTTTGCATATCCGGTCCCTAGAAGACTAAACCCAGATGCCTTCTTATAAAGCTGAGAAAACTAGATAAAGGTAGAGCCTTTAGATAGAAGTAGGCTGGCTAGGGAAGAAGTCAAAGATGAAGTGATGACTTACATGAAGCAGAGCCATAAAATTCCAGAAGGATAAACCAAGAAGAAATCCTGGCCATTTAATCTATATATATAAAAGCCACTGCTTTATGGGCTGTGTGAGAAAGGAGCACAAGAGGAAGACTGAGGAGGCCCTCATCACACCGATGAGTAACAGCTGGGGAAGTGGGGTCCCGGTCACCCCTAGACATTTCAGGAGCTGCTGGCCAAGCACAAGCATTGAATGGCAACCACCACGGACACTCCACTCTGGGTGGCAGCCACATTCTGGAAACCCCAGAACCTGAAGCAAAGTCTGGGCCATTTCAGAAGTCAAAGAACATAGATCACCTGACATCACCCCCAGGGACTTGGCTCCTCTTGAATGGCATTCAAGGAGGAGTTCACTCAAGAAGTTTGGGACTGGAATCACTTTCCTTGGATCCATATTTATCAAGCAGAGTGAAGGGGAAAAAAGCAAAACAGAATTCTAAGGTAAAAACAAAATATCAGTGTATAACAGAGAAAGTAGTCAAGTTATTTCTTTCAGATAAAAATGACCACTTTTTTTTTATAGAACAAAGCTATAACCTATTGAAACAGTCATACTCCAACTTAGTTAGATCAAATCCAAAGGATAACTAGATATTTTACTGATGTTCTTCATAGAGATGGCCTGGATTGTCTTTTTCTTCATGGTTAACCTAAGCTTCTTTTCAGAAAAAAGAAATCTGAGGGCCGTCAAATTATTTACATCGCTCCACATTTTCCCCATCTTTGTTAACATATAACTCATTTACATTTATAATTTCACATTCTGCCCTCACTTAACTTTCACATAGGTATATTTCCATGTGCTGGCACTTTCTATATATTTCTGTGCTTTAAACAGTTATGTAGTTATATCATAATTTGAATTATTCTCCAAACATTAGGCCAGTTTTTTTCTTTAAGTAAAAAAGCAAAGAACATTTTAAGTCCCAATTAATTTCTTCACTTCCTGCATTGCTTCTTTTGATAACATGACAAATTTTAAACTCTTTGTTCCATATTGCTATATTATGATCCAGTCAAGAAGTTTATGGCAACCTCCAGGCTCAACCTAGCCCACATGGGTCTTAATTGGCCCACATGCAGGTGTTTCATGTTTCTTGTTGTTGATGTTGTCATTGTTTAATGTCTTAAGGCAGGGCCTCTACAATCTGTTTTGCCACGATTCCCAATAATCATACTCTCATTCATTCAAAATTACCTGCCTATAAACATTTGAGTTTTTAGATGTTTCCAATTTTCAGAACTCCCTGCAATAATTATTTATTTCTGTTCCCAAGTTCCTCGCTGTGATTTACCTTTTTTAATTTAATAGGTAAATATGAATAATCCTTTAAATTTTTAAATTAAAAAAAATTTAATGCAAGCAGAGCTTCTAACCTTTGTAAACTCTAACTGGTAACCTATCATACCATAACTTTGTGTGAAGATGAGAAATCAAGACCCTTGAGTACTTCGGGCTCTCCATGGTGCAGTACACTTAACAGACAGATAACATGGACCTGGGTTTATCCAAACCAAGGGGTGCCTGTCAGGACTAATGAATGGCATGTTTGTTTAAAAAAATGCACCAGGCCATATCCCACTACTCTTCTAAGGGAAACTGTATAATCCTAAATCTTTGGACTCTCTCTGGAACTGACTCTTGTCCTTTAAAATTGTACACTCATGCACGCTTTCCTAAAGAGGGCAATCTTTACATATTTAAAGATAAATGCTTAACCATTTCCAAGGTTACTCAGTCTCAGTGTTAGCAGACAAATCTTATTTTAGTTTCAAAAATAGGCCTATATTCAGCAGCTTGCCTGATTACACTTATGAAGTCGGTCTCCTTAGAGAAACAGATGGTATGGTAAAAAGAAACTGGGCCAGGACACCGAGACCTAAGGTTCCAGTTCCAGCTCTGCTCTGTGATCGAGGTTACCAGCTGTCTTCAAAAACCCATCCTCCCCTTCCCTCTGAGTAACAGATTTGTAGGTGAACTGCATGTTCCAGAATCACACTCCAACCCTTGGAACTAGGAGTAGCCATGTGGCTAAGTTCTCCTGACAGATGTGATTTATATCCTTTATATAATTACTTAAAATTATCTTGACAATAAGAATCTTCCAAGAAAGCATTGTCCTAAACTAAGATATAATTCACACAATACATTAAATTTATTGGAGTGACATTAGTTAATAAAATTATATATGTTTCAAGTGTACAATAAACATTATCTGTACAGTGCATTGTGTGTGTGCTACCCAAAGTCAAATCTCCCTTCACGATATATTTGACCCCCTTTACCCTTTACTACCTGCTCCCACTGATATTTGCATTCAACTATTGTTCATTTTTTGCTTTCAGTTTTATACCCCACATGTGAGTAAAATCATATGGTTCCTGGCTTTTTCTGTCTGACTTGTTTCACTTAGCATGATAGTCTCAAGATCTATCCATGCTATAGAAAACAGAAGTATTTCATCTTTTCTTATGGCTGAGTAGTATGCCATTACTTCTATCTACTACATCTTCTTTATCCAATGATCTATTAAGGGACACTGGTTGTTTCCATGTCTTGGCCTCAGTATAGTTACTGGTTGTGCATTACCTAATTTCAGCAGAATTTCATCACCCCAGAAACAAACAATATACTGGCTAACAGTCACTTCTCTTTCTTCCCTCTTCTTTGCTTCTGGAAACACTAATCCACTTTGTTTCTATGGATATGCCTATTCTGAACATTTTATAATGTGAGATAATACAATATGTGGCCTTTTGTGACTGGCTTCCTTCATTTACCATGTTTTCTAGGTTCATCCATGGTGTATGTATAGTATTTTATTCCTTTTTATTGCTGAGTAACATTTCATTGTGTTCTTATCCATTTATCAGTTGATACATGTTTGGACTGTTTTAGCTTTTTTGCTATTATGAACAATGCTATGAACATTTATGTACAAGCTTTTGTGTCAACACATGTTTTCCATTTTCTTATATATATATACTTAAAAGTAAAATTTCTGAGTCCTATGATAATCCAATATTTAACTCTTTGAAAACTTTTCCACAACAGTAGTACCATTTTACATTACCACCAGCAACATATAGGGTCCAATTTCTCCACATCCTTACTGTGATGGTTAACTTCCTCTGTAAACGTGACTGAATTAAAAAATGCCCAAATAGCTGGTAAAACATTATTTCTGAGTGTGTCTGTGAGGATGTTTCTGGTGATTTTGTATATTGAGCAAAGAAGATTCATCCTCACCAATGTCAATGGGCATCATCCAATCAGTTGAGGGCCCAAATAGACAGAGAAAGGGTGAATTCTCTCTCTCTTGTTAAATTGGGGCATCCAACTTCTCCTGCCCCAGACATTGGAGCTCCTGGTTCTCAGGTCTTCAAATTCCAGGACTTACACCAATGGCCTCTTAGATCTCAGGCCTTCAGACTCGAACTGAATTACATCACTGGCTATCCTGGTTTCCCATCTTGCACATGGCAGATTGTAGCACTTCTTAGCCTCCATAACCATGTGAGTCAATAGCTATAATAAATCTTCATCTATACTAGTATTTTTACTTTCCTTTTTTAATTCTAGATACCTCACTATCTATGTACCTCACTGTGGTTTTGATTTGCATTTCCTTAGTAACTAATGGTAATGAGCACCTTTTCATGTACTTACTGGTCATGTTCTTTGGAGAAATACCTATTCAAATATCTTACCCAATTTTAATTGGGGTGTCATTTTCATTATTGTGCTGGATTTATTAAGTAATTTTTCTTCATCTATTGAAATGATTATATGGGTTTTTGGTGGGATTTTTTTGTTTTGTTTTGTTTTTGTTTGTTTGTTTGTTTTGCTTTATTCTATTAATAGGCATTTGACTTTCATATAATGAGCCATTGTTGCATTCCTGGGGTGAATCACAATTGATTATGGTACATAAATTTTTTATAAGCTTCTAGATTTGGATTGCTAGTATTTTGTTGAAGATTTTTTCTGTCTATATTCAT